ACCTCGCCTTTGATCATACCACCTTGGAAGAACTGAAAATTTACAGGTCCATAGAATTATCTCTGAAAACTGCTGCACAAAACCCCTAAAGTTTGGGACAATACATCCTCTACACTGGAAGCAGACCCCTACCTTAACAAAGAGTTTAAAAGTCAAATAATTGGCTGGGATCATAAGCAAACAGAGCAAAAAAAGTCAGACCATGGAATTTTACTTTGGTGACAAAGAAGATCAAAACATACAACCAAAAAAAGACAACACAGTCAAAGCTCCTACATCCAAAGCCTCCAAGAAAAATATGAATCAGTCACAGGCCTTGGAAGAGCTCAAAAAGGATTTGGAGAAGCAAGTAAGAGAAGTAGAGGAAAAGCTGGGAAGAGAAATGAGAGTGATGCAAGAAAATCATGAAAAACAAGTCAACAGCTTGCTAAAGGAGACCCAAAAAAATACTGAAGAAAATAACACCTTAAAAACTAGGCTAATCTAAATGGCAAAAGAGGTCCAAAAAGCCAATGAGGAAAAAAATGCCTTAAAAAGCAGAATTGGCCAAATGGAAAAGGAAGTTCAAAAGCTCAATGAAGAAAATATTTCCTTAAAAATTAGAATGAAGCAAATGGAAGCTAAAGACTTTATGAGAAATCAAGAAATTGTAAAACAAAACCAAAAGAATGAAAAAATAGAAGACAATGTGAAATATCTTCCTGGAAAAACAACTGATCTGGAAAATAAATCCAGGAAAGATAATTTTAAAATCATTGGACTACCTGAAAGCCATGATCAAAAAAAGAGCCTAGACATTATCTTTCAAGAAATTATCAAGGAAAACTGCTGATACTCTAGAACCAGAGGGTAAAATAGAAATGGAAAGAATCCACCAATCACCTCCTGAGAGACATCCCCAAAGGAAAACACCTAGGAATATTATAGTTAAATTCCAGAGTTCCCAGATCAGGAAGAAAATATTGCAAGCAGCCAGAAAGAAACAATTCAGGTACTGTGGAAACACAATCAGGATAACACAAGATTTAGCAGCTTCTACTTTGAGGCAACGGAGGGCTTGGAATATATCACAGAGGGCAAAGGAGATAGGATTACGACCAATCACCTACCCAGCAATATTGAGTATAATCCTTCAGGGGAAAAAATGGACATTCAGTGAAATAGAGGACTTTCAAGCATTCTTGATGAAGGAAGCAAAGCTGAATAGAAAATTTGACTTTCAAATACAAGACTCAAGAGAAGCATGAAAAGGTAAACAGGAAAAAAGAAATCTTAAGGGACTTACTAAAGTTGAACTGTTTACAATTCCTACATGGAAAGATGATATTTGTAACTCATGAGACCTTTGTCAGTATTGGAGTAGCTGGATGGAAAAAAATAGATAGATAGACAGATAGATAGATAGATAGATAGATAGATAGATAGATAGATAGATAGAGGGCACAGGGTGAGTTGAAAATGAAGGGGTGATATTTAAAAAAATAAAATTAAATGGTGAAAGAGGATTATACTAGGAGAGGGAGAAATGAAAAGGCAGAATGGAGTAAATTATCTCACATAAAACAGACAAGAAAAAGCTTTTACAGTGGAGGGGAAGTGGGGAAAGGTGAGATGGAATGAGTGAATCTTATTCTCATTGGATTTGGCTTAAGGAAAGAATAACATACACACTCAATTGGGTATGGAAATCTACCCTACAGGAGAACAGGGGAGAAGGGGAAAGAGGGGGAGATGATAAAGGGGAGGGCAGATTGGGGGAGGGGGTAATCAGAAGCAAACACTTCTGAGGAGGGACAGGGTCAAAAGAGAGAATAGAATGAACAGGGGGTAGGATAGGAAGAAGGGAAATATACTTAGTTTTTCACAACATGACTACTATGGAAGTGTTTTGCATGACTACACATGTATAACCTGTATTGAGTTGCTTGCCATCTCAATGAGGGTGGGTGGGGAGGGAAGAAGAGAGAGAATTTGGAACCCAAAGCTTTAAAAACAAATGTTAAAAATTGTTTTTACATGCAACTGGGAAATAAGATATACAGGCAATGGGGTATAGAAATCTATCCTGCCCTACAGGAAAATAGAAGGAGAAGGGGATAAGAAAAGAGGGGGTGACAGAAGGGAGAGGAGATTAGGAGAATGGGGTATTCATAATGCACGCCATCATGGGATGGGGGGAGGGGTGAGATGGGGAGAAAATTTGGAACTCAAAATCTTGTGGAAATGAATGCTGAAAACTAAAAATAAATAAATATATCTTAAAAATTAAATTAAATTAAAAAAAAAGAAGGAAGAATTCAACTACAAATGAGCCACAGTCAGAATTACACATGATCAAGCAGCCATTTTAAAGGAGAAGACAGCTTGGAATATCACATTCCAAGAAGGGAAATGATAAAGGCTTACAACCAAGAATACTTTACACAACAAAAAAGGGGAGGAAAAAAAATTTTTTTAAGGTGAAATTGGCAGCTAGGTGGTATTGTGTGGATGGAATTCCAGCCCTGGAACTCTAGATGTTCTAGTCAAGAAGACTTGAATTCAAATTTGGTCTAAGACATTTAACAGTTGTGTAACTTTGAGCAAGTCACTTAGCCTGTTTGCTTGAGTTTCCTCATCTATAAAATAAAGATAATAATAGCACCTACCTCCCAGGATCATTGTAAGGCTCAAATGAGACAACAGTTAGAAAGCAATTAGCATAGTGCTCAGTAAGTGCTACATAAGTGTTAGATATTACTATTATCATCATCATCATCATTATTAAATAGAGGACTTTCAAATTCCTGATAAAAAAACCAGAGCTGCAAAGGGATTCTGAAGTGTAAACACAGGAGTTAAAACAAAAATAAAAAGGCAAACAAATACAAAAGAAAAATTTCTAGGGACTAAACAAGGACAAACTGTGTACATTCTAATATGGAGAGATGATACATATGTCCCCTTCTCAAGGATACAGAGGGAGTCTAATTACACAGAAGGCCTAGGGATAGTTCTGTTATGTCATGATGATCTTAAGAGGTGAACAGAAAGGGAGAGTAAAAGAAATAAACTTGACAGAGAGGGAAAGATGAAAAATTTACCTCATATAGTCCAGATTCAAACAAACAAGGAGGAAGGGATGGGTGCTGACACTTGTGCCTCACTCTCATTTGAACACACACACACAAACACACAGAGAATTGGGTATATCTTACTCAACTGAGAAATAAGAGAGAAATGGGAAGAAGGCTAGATTAAAGGAGTGATTAGATGTTCATCAACTAATTGTGAAGGAATACAACTGTGCTCTAAAAATTGAAGAGGATGGCCTCCTGGGAAGACTTGTATGAGCTGATGCAAAGTGAACAGTAGAATTATTTATGAAATGACAAAAATATTTTAATGAAAAATAACTGAAAGACTCAGAATCCTGAGCAGTACATATACACCCATACATATGCATGCATGCATGTATTGTGTATGGTGTTTGTTTGGACATGGCCAATGTGGAAATTTGTTTTGCTTGAGTATTTTTTCTTCTCTCTTGAATTCACTCCTGATTCTGGACTTCTCCACCTCTATCCTACCTGCCTTCTCAACCCGAAGATGCTTCCATTCCTGGAGCCGTGTACTCCCAATGGCAAGTTCTGATCTACCATCTGGAGTAAGTGCTCATGTTCATTTCTCTCTCAGTTCTGCTCCTACCTCTACAGACTTTTTATGTTTATAAGAAGAATTTTGTTTTCCTTTCATCAGGGGGTGGGGGTGGTGCACAGAAAGGGGTAAGAAAAGGTGGATTTTTGCTGATTGAAAAAAATAAATTTTCATTTAAAAGAACAAAGCAGAATTTTTTTTGTTGTAGCAAAGATCTAGAACTAAAAATGAGTGCCTATCAATTACGGAATGACCGAACAAATTGTGGTATATGAAAATGTGATAGAATATTATAACGTGCCATAAGAAATGGAGACATAGGGGCAGCTAGGTGGTGCAGTGGATAGAGAACCGGCCCTGAAGTCAAGAGGACCTGAGTTCAAATCCGGTCTCAGACCAATTGACACTTACTAGCTGTGTGACCCTGGGCAAGTCACTTAACCCCAATTGCCTTTAAAAAAAAAAAGAAAGAAATGGGGACATAGATTCAAAGAAACCTGGGGAGGACTTGTATGAATTAATGGAGAGTAAGGTTATCAGAAGCAAGAGAACAATTTATATTATGATTATGCCATAAATGAAAAAACTATGAGAGAATTGAGAACTATGATAGATGCACTGATCAAAAAGAACTCTAGGGACTAATGATGACTCTTCTTGGCAAAGAGGTGAAGAAAGAAACCTACATTTTTAGACATGGTCAATGCTAGATTATTCTCATTTGTTATGAGAGGGCTTTTTCTGGGGGGGGGGGAGGCACTTATAAAGAAGAGTTAAGGGATGTTAACAGTGAAACAAAAAAACCCATAAGTGATAGTGACACCCCGCACACACACACACACACACACACACACACACACACACACACACACACACACA